AATCAGTGTTCTGTGCAGGCGTATCGGGGTACATGCTTCTTCGTGGGATATGTTAAAAAATGGAGACACTTAGCATGATCCGAGGGTGGAGGTTTTGGCCCTCTGACATCAGGTGGTCATTCATCAGACATGTGTGCAGGCCCGGTTTTTAGGGTCAGTGGTCCCAACCGGTCTTGGCTGCCTTGAACTAGACAGGAGCTTACTCTAGGTTTCTGGAAAACAGCTTAAGTGCCCATTGATATAGTGACCCGTACGTCCGATGTGTAACCTATAGGGGACAGTTAGTAACTCAGGCAAAGCTTGGTCACTGAGGGCGGGTTCAGGCGGGGGTTTACCAGGCTGTCCCTGGGCTGCTGCTCTGGAAGACAAGCTCGAGAATTCCTGTTAGTCACCACTGTCTGCTAACCCTGTGGAACATGGTCTCCGTTCCTAGAGTAGTCAAGATCATAGAAAGTGTGGTCCATGCCGGTTGTCAGGGAGCCGTGGTAGGAGGAGAGCGGGAAGTTACTGCTCAGAGGATGTAGAGTTTCAGTTTTGCAAGATGAAGAGTTCTGGAGGGCCTCCCCGGTGGCGCGGTGGTCGAGAGTCCGCCTGCCGATGCGGGGGACGCGGGTTCGTGCCCCGGTCCGGGAGGATCCCAAGTGCCGCGGAGCGGCTGGGCCCGTGAGCCGTGGCCGCTGAGCCTGCGCGTCCGGAGCCTGTGCTCCGCAGCGGGAGAGGCCACGACAGTGAGAGGCCCGCATAGCGCAAAAAATTTAAAAAAAAAAAAAAAGTTCTGGAGATGAATGTGACTGCTGGGAATGGTTACACAGCACTGTGAAGGTACTGAATTCCAATGAACTGTACAGTTTAAAATGGTTGAGATACTAAGTTTATGTTACGTATTTTATGTTATCACAAGTAAAAATTTTCTAAGAAGATGAGCTGTGACTCTTACCTCACCCAATACCAAAAGATTACCTCAAAATGGAACATAGACTTTAAGAGCAAAAGCTATAAAATTTCTGGAAGAACTCATAGAGGAAAATATTCATGATCTTCTCTTAGGCTAAAGTTCTTAGAAAGCTCTTTCATAGGTTGTGCTTTTCGAGATAGAAATTGGGCCGCATCAAGATAAAAACTTTTGAACTTCAAAGTCACCATTCAGAAAATGAAAACACAAGTCCCAGACGGGACTTTAAGTATTTAAAGTCCGGGAGGTAGTATTTGCAAATCATGTACCTGATAACAGGGATATATGCAGAATATATGAAGAGTGCTTACAACTCAGTAAGAAGACAGACAACCCAATTTAAAACATGGGCAAAGAATTTGAACAGACACTTCACCAAAGAAGATGTATAGATGGCAAGTAAGCACCGGAAAAGATGTTTAACATCATGAGTCACTAGGGAAATAAAATTCATATCATAATGAAGTCCCACTTTATACCCAATGGCTATAACCAAACAGGCAGACAGTGAGTGTTGGCACAGTTGTAGAGGAACTGCTGTAGACGCTGCTGGTGGGAATATGAAGTGGTAACAGTCGCTCTGTAAAGGTTTTGGCAGTTTCTTTAAAAGGTTAAATATAAATTTACTGTACAGTGCAGCAGTTTTACTTCTAGGAATTTACCCAAGACAAAGGAAGACATGTTCACACAAAGACTTGTATAGTAGCTCAAAGCTAAAAAGAATCTAAATGTGGATTAAGTGGTGAACGTATAGACGAAATGGAACACTTCAGCAATTAAGGGGCAAACCGCTGGTGTGTGCTGTAACAAGAATAAACCTCCAAAGTGTTGTGCTGAGCGGAAGAAGCCAGACGCAGTACCTAGTGTGGTCCCAGTGGTGTGAAATGTCTGGAACAGGCAGATCTGTGCACAGAAGGAGAGCAGTGGTTGTCTGGGGGTCGGGGTTGAGCGTGGACCTCGGCTCCAGAGGAATCTCTCTGAGGCAGTAGGAACACTGTAAACCCAGATGAGTGGACTGTTGCAGAACTTTCAATTTATTAAAAATCATTGAAGTTAAAAAAATTATATAGAAGCATTATTGAGGTATAATTTATATACCATAAAATTTACCCTTTTAAGGTGTACCTTCAGTCATTTTTAGTATTCACAGAGTTGCCTAAATATCACCGTATCCAATTTCAGAACATTATCGTTACTTCCAGAAGAAACCCTGTCCCCATTCACAAGCAACTCTCCATCCCCTCCTTCCCCTATCCCCTGACAGCCATTTAATCTACTTGGTGTGTTCAAGAATTTCCCTATCCTAGACATTTATATAAACAGAATCGTGTCAGAGGTGGCCCTGTGTATCTGGCTTCTTTCATTTAGCTTAGTGTTTTCAAGGTAGCTTTGTGTTGGTCTCAGCCTGGCAGGAATGATGCTGTGACGCAGATCGCCTGGGGTGGGGCTCGCCGGGACCCGTGCTGCTTGTGGCAGCCCCACAGACATTTCCCTGACTGGAGCCAGCGTCATGGCTGGACCAGCCCTTGTGGTTCTTACTGTGACTGCAAGGCGCCTCTCATCAGGAACCATCGGGGAACTCTGAAAACATAAGGTTTACTACTCACAGACCCTGCGGGGTATGTGGCACACCGGGGGCCACACAGCAGAGAGATGGAGAGGGCGAGAATGTGGACCTGGGGTTCTGCCTTTACTGGGGTCAAGGCGGGGGGTGAGGTTCTGCCTTTATTATTGGGGTCAAGGGGGGTTGCAGGTTCATTATTTATTGGTGAATTTAAAATAAGGCTGAGAATTCAGGCACTGGAAGGGAAGAGCG